ATGTTCTGGCAGTGTCAGAAGATTTCAGACACTTTCCTGCAGTGTGACAAGAGCTGAGATGAGCATCAATCCAAGAACCAATAGGAGCGGAGAATTTGATGATGCAATACATGCGACAATTCAAATGACCGTGGGGAAATTTTAAAACAGTTTTTTTTTCTTCCTGGATTTATTATTGAGGTGTTTACAGATTGTTTGCGTTTGCTGTGAGGAATCATTTCAGAACGCGGGATAGTGAAAGTGTCACAGGTGGATGACATTAAACTCTGGGGCGATTTCTCTATGACAGCTGAGATTTTACAGTGACACAAGAGCCATGTTCGTGTATGCTACAATCATTCAGAATTATGAAAAATCCCCCAGTGTGAGCCGGCCTTTAGAGAAATGAGTTTTTTTTTAATTCATCTGGACTCAACTATTAATTTCCCCCACTCCATTAAACCTAAATGTCTCTCCTTCAATCCTAAACTTAACCCTTTAGTGATACCAAAACCCCACAATGTCAAAAAAGTCTTGTTTAACTAATGGGACATCTGGTCCTTTCAGCTTGAGTTCAACAAGAACACATAACCGCTTAAGTTTTGGGGTCTGTGAAGACTCTTTTTCTGTCTTAAAGGGATAGTTCACGAAAATGTTTAATTTACTTCCCATTTATTCACCTTTAAGTGGTTTCAAACCTTTATGAGTTTCTTTGTTGTGTTGAACACTAAGAAGATATTCTGATAAAACCTGAAAACCTGTAACTATCAACTTCCACAGACAAAAACAAATACTGGGGAAGTCAACGGTTACAGGTTTCCAGCATTCTTCAAAATATCTTCTACTGTTTCCAACAGAAGAAAGAAACTCAAACAGGTTTTGGAAGAAGAAGAGTAAGCAATGATGACAGAATCTTCAATTTGGGGTAAACTGCCCCTAAAGTATCTAAGTCTCAACAAGTTTATCTTCATTTGGCCAATATACAGTTAAAATAACAAAAAAGAAAACATTTTGGTAGAAATTGGTAGCCAATGACTTCAATAGTAAAGCCCAATCTACTGTATTAACGAAAAGTGTGTGCGTGTGGGGTTTGGTGACAGTTGTGAAAAATCACAAAAAGTGGGTCGCGAGATCACGTTGGCGGGGGGTACTGCCAAATCTGGCAACAACTTCCATTAGTTAATATATTTAACTAACATTAACTAATCTTGTAAAGTATTTATAAATCATACATCAACATTTACTAATGCATTGGTAAAATCCTAAAGTTGTGCTAAATGTTAATGCACAGCGAGTTAAAATTAACTAAAGTTATGTAACTAATATTAACAAAGATTTAATAAATGTATTACTAACTGTTTGTTCATGTTAGTAAACACATTTACCAACATTAACTAATGTATCATTTTAAAGTGTTCCCGTGTTTTTTTTTTTGTTTTTTTTTTTAGTTTAACAAAAGAAACAAATGTTTGAAACCACCCAAGGGTGTGTTAATGCTAATAAATGTTCATCTTTGTATGAACTATCACTTTAACTTGTATGAATCTAGTGTATTAATCACTTACCTGCTCTTTGACCTCTATGCTGTGCTCTCCCTCCAGGATAAGCGTGACCGCCTGCATTATCTGCTTCCCATGTGAGCTCATGATCTGGTCTATATGCTACCAAAGACAAGCAAAGACAATCAGTGTGTTACAGAAAGCCCATAATCTCATTAGGCACTGAAAGGGAATATTTCCGAGCATGTGTGCATTAGCGCTGCGTGATTCTGGATAAACTGAGAGCCTTGATTTTTTTTGTTTAAAATATAGATCACAATTCTCCAACAAAAATGAATACAACAACATTAATAATATACAAGAAGTTCTAATGAAATTGTATTTGCTGTAATAGATTTTAATATAATTTAGTATTAGTATTTTATTTAGTATTTAAGACACAGTATGTCAGCTTCACCACTAGAGGGCGTGCATGCACAACAAACAAAAGTGTAGTTTAATGATGCCGAAAGTGGAATTATGGGAGTTGTTGTCTTCATAACTTTCTCTGAGGCATCTACAGAAATCATGTTCATGGATGAGCTAAAGTATATAAAACTTATTATCATGATAGTATGAAGAAGAATAAGGCTGAAAGCAGTCAAAGCCAAATGAGAGAGCTGAAGCAATTTCTGATGAGAGAAGAGTGTGACAGTATTAAAATGTTAGATACGGCCAATTCCTAAGATATACATAATTTGACAATACAACTGAAAACAAAATTTTGAAATAACAAAAATTATTCAATGACTAATATATTTTGAAACATATGCTGGACAAGTTGGCGGTTTAATCCGCTGTGGCGACCCCTGGGACTAGGCCGAAAAGAAAATGAATGAAATACATGTTAATGGCCTCTTGTGTCCATCTACTGGTGCAACCTTAACTGCTACAACCTTCATTTGAACCGTCAAATGATCATGTTCAAGATCAAGTTCGATTTACTTATGTAGGATGTTTCCAACCGCCACAACACGGCAAAGAGTGCTTTACAGAAAAAATCTAAATCATTTTGATTCTAGACATTAACGATTCTATCAAAAATAAACTGCTATTTTAACACTTCTGTGATCATTTGAATGTTTTTGCAACAGTTAGCAAAAAATTTAAAGGGATAGTTCACCAAAAACTGAAAAATATGTCATTGGTTAATATAATTTAGTACACCGGCTTCTTTATTCTAGGGTTAAGCTTAACAAATTCTAATCTAAATGTCAATCTGGGGAAAGCACCTTGGGACATCCTTTTTAGTCATGCCTAAAACGTTTTGAGTTGTGGAGCAAAATTTTCAGATTTTACTTTAATGCTTATTCTTGTGACCTCGCCCCTGATCCAGCAATCACTGTTTTTGGTTGGTCTGACTCACTTTGTGGGTTCAGTCATCAAATTAAAAAAGCTGTCCAATATTGAATGATGAAAAAATAGCTAAAAGAATATTGCTTGTCTATGGAAAAAGCCATCAAAACCAGTTTTTAAATTTTGCCTTTCAGAATTCTCTAGCACTTTACTTTTAGAGAGACTTTGACACAATCTTTCTGATAGCATTGCTGGTTTTGACGCCACCTGGAATCACTTTTTTAATTATCTGTCAAATGTCAAGGATAATGTTGTTTGCAAGTTCACCATATTGCCTGTCCCCACTGGCCTACAAATATATGTGTGATGTTGTTAACCCATGTTTAAAACTGGAGGAACTGATATAACAATGGTTTTAAAATCTTTTTATTTCTGTCTTCTGTCTGTCTTGTGTGTTTTTTTTTTTTTGTTTGTTTGTTTGTTTTGTTTTGTTTTATTACCTTTTTTCTGTCTTTATAGTTGTTGTTGCTTTTTGTATTGCTCTGTGTTGCTTTATGGTAAAAAAAAATACATATATAATATTCAAAACAATCTGTCATTGTTTACTCACCTTTAAGTTGTTTCAAACCTGTTTCACTTTCTTCTGTTGAAAACAAAAGAAAATATTTTAAGAAAAAAGCTGGAAACCACTGACATCCACAGTGAATTTTTTCTGTAGCCAATTTTTCTGTAGAATTTTTTTTTTTTTGGAAGTCAATGGTTTTAGGTTTCCAGCTTTATTCAAAATATCTTCTTCTGTGTTTAACAGAAGAAAGAACCCATAAAGGTTTATTACCTTGAGGGAGAGTAAATCGTAAGTAGCTTTTAATTTTTTAAGAGGTGAACTATCCTTTTAAAAACTGAAGAGGTTTAACTACACATGAGGACTCTCTCTGGGTCAAACGCAGATTTGAATATTCCGCTTTGACCATCAAAGCTTTAATAAAGATGCAAATATTGTAGTCAAATAGAATTAAGATTGCACATTTGTTTCAATTGAGATTGTGATCTTTCAATCATGCAGCTCTAGAATAAATGTTACCGGCCGGGTGGAGAGCAGGTTTCGGAGCAGCCCAAGTGTTTTCATGAGAACATTGGTGTCAGGATCAGACAGGAGTCGAAAGAGCTGTTCCGTGCCCAGAGCTCGAACGATCTCCACCTTCACCTTCTGATCCGCCTGGAATGCCATGTTCTGCACAAACACACATTACGCTTTCTGATGACTCCATGCTTTTATATTAAATCTCTCTGATGTGGATTGAAGTCAGCTGGTCTTACCATGAGAGCCCAGATGCCGTTGACCCTCAGAGCTGAACTGTCGCTTTGCGTGAGGCTGCATAGTAACTCGATGACCCCAGACTCTAAGATAGGCTGAGAACAAACACACTTTTAGACTTTGTTATTTAAAAATAAAGCCAGTGCTCCAACAGAAGTTACACATTTAAAAGCAGGGAATCAACATATTAAAGCAAATTAAATTACATTATAAATATAATAATAATAATAATAATAATAATAATAATAATAATAATAATAATAATAATAATAATAATAATAATAAAAATAATAATAATATAAAGAACAAAACCAAAAAAAATAAGTGGAAAAATATATCTACAATAGCTTTAGTATAACTTCAATTATTACACTTAATGGACATAATTAACATAAAACTAACAGTTAACAAGACTAACTAGGTTTCTTCTAAAGCTGTAAGTAAACTTCTGCAAGAACAACTTTCATATTGGATACAACATTTGCGAATAAATCACTGTTTCCATTCACTGAGTTAAAGATAACAATACTGTATACTGTACAGCAGGGGTCTCAAACTCAAATTGGCGGGGGCCATTTCAGTAACTGACAATTCATAGGAGGGCCATTTTAACATTCAAGCACACGAAAAAAGTGGAAACCTGATGTAACTGAGGCACTCAGACATTCTTCCCCAGAGCATTAAAGCTCCTTCTTTGTGTGTCTTGTTGTACATATTGAAGGGGTAGTTTAAATTGCTATGAAAATACTACAGTTTAATAAGCATAATGATAATAATAACTATTATTGTGTTCCAATAAATTGTTGCCTAACCAAACGTTTAACAGATAGCATAAGAATGCAACTTCATTGACTTAACTGGAAATTGTTCTTCTCAATATCATTCTTTTTTGTAAAACTAAGCAAAGAGGGGGAATATATGCATATACTCACATTTACTTTAACATGTTCAAATTAGCCAGCAGTAGAAATTTACTAATGCACATTCTTTATACAATTCTTAATATGCATATTAGGAAAACGTATTAATGAGACAGTTTGAACCGAGTATTAGCAAAATTATCATATCATATGTGTATGAAGAGGTGTTTGTACAACAAAATACAGGTGGTATGAAACTGATTATAATCAAATGATCCTTGAATATTTGTAATATTTATTTCAACACTTAAATCAGCCCAGGGCCGGAGTGGGACTCCTTTTCAGCCCTGGAGTTTCAAGCATTAGACCGGCCCACCTCAGTTTAAGACTGACTATATTAAAATAAGGTCATTTCCAATTCATATTCTAATTACACTATCACGTCTTTTTCAAGAAAACAGCTGCTTTAGAACTTCAAATGTTCAACAACCTTACAGTTTTATATGTTTAAACAATAAGAATGAAAAAAAAAATTACTCAGATGAGGATCAAACAGGGATCGACGATGTTGTAATGCAACGTTCTGACCACTAGACCACATTGGCGCTGTTACTCGTGTGGCCGGAATGATAGTTAGATCATCAATACCCTGTAGGCTGCATTTTGCTCTTGGGGCTGCGAGACAATAAATAAGAAGAGCTGAGCTGCGGCAAAATAATGAATAAAAAGAGTGAGGCTATGGTCAAATAAATAAATCAATGAAAAAAGAAGTGCGACTGCTGAGAGCGCAAGCAGCAAGAAACACCGGCCCTCGCGGCCAAAAAACGGACCGGCACACCGGGAGTTCTCCCGGTCCTCTCGAATGGCCAATCCAAACTGAAAGTAACTGAAAGTAACTCAAACATATAGTACAGTACCTTAAATGTCCAGTAGGTGGGGGGTCAAAACCACAAGTATATATGCGACAGCACAACAATAATAGTGATTCTAAAATAAATGTATCGCTCGGCCGAATCTGGGCAGTTTGAGACCCCTGCATTACAGTAACTTTGGCTCAGGCATTTCAGACAGACTGAAACATTTTTGAGATGTTTTGTGATGAGATCAATCTGCTGGCTTGTTCAATAATCTCCTCACATTACTGTGAGTTTATTGTTGTTGCATATTTATTCAGTAAATGCATTTTTCCTTTGTACTTTATACTCGTCTTTTTTTGCTGGAAAAAATTTAATTCAATAAAGCTGCAAATTTTAAACGTAAATTTTCAGAATGATTTTTAGAATGTATGCTCAGCTGGGTGTTTTATTTCATCCAGTATATTTTTATGCAAAGGAATTTTACTTGTCGACTTGTAGAGCTGCGCATTAATAGATTTGCTGAACTTCAACTCTGAAAACTGGACTGAAACAGTTTCAATTTACTAGAACTTCTATGTTAAGCTGCTTTGACACAATTTGCACTGTAAAAGCGCTATAGAAATAAAAATGTATTGAATTGAATAAATAGATGGATGAAAACATACTGTACAGCAATGTTATCTGTTAATTTCTGTTAAAATATGTGTCTTCTGTTCAAATTCTTCAAATGAATAGATGTTATTTTTTATTTAATTATTAAAAATTATCCAGGAGGCTCATTTTGCATTTTCAAAAGCACATCATACTGTATAATAGCACAACATGAATGACAAACTTAGTCCATCGTCAATTTAAAAAAAAAACTTTGCTATACAGAAAGCACACAAATCAAATCTTATAAATCCAAAACTATTTTTGTTGACTGATAGGAAGAGATTAAGCACTAAAGTTAAGGTGTGCTGACAGTTTTTCGCTTTGTAGATATGTGTTAATAATGCTAAGCCCAACAAAGTGTAAATACTTTACCTCTTTACTGGGTGAAAATTCCAGAAGAAGGTTGCATAGTGTTGAAGAGGCCATGACCAGCACCTCATCTGGTGCGTTCTGTAATAACTACCAAAACAAACAAAACAAACGTTTATTCTGTTTAGCTTAGATTAGCGTTGATATTCAGCTTAGCATCATCGAGATGTCATACCTTCATTAGTGGTTTCCATACGGCATGATCATGGAAACTCGTTCTTAGCTGTTGTACTGATCGTGATAAACTGTGGAGACATCTAGAGGAAAACAAATAAAAAGAAATCATCTGAAATACAAAAGCAACATTTTTTAAATTCTTGAAACTCTTTCAACATCCAATTGCTGTGGCATTTCAACAAACACATTTCATATTTGCTCCACTGATCAATAGTTTGAGGTCAGTAAGAGGTCTTGAATGTTTTTAAGCTCATCAACAGTGCATTCATATTATAAAAATTAATTACAGAAGTACTGTGAAAAGAGATGCCTCATACCTGACTGCTGCTAACCGTACTTTGATACTAGATTCTGATAAGCCGCTAACAATTCTGTCCATCATGTTTTCCGTCTCTGTAATCTGTAGGGGAGAAATTGGATCTTTCATTACATCAACCCAATATCTTTACTTAGGGATGTTCATTGTGAATCTTTTTCCTGACTGACAACTGACATTTATTACATGTAAAAAGACAATGTCAATTAAATTACAATTAAATTCAATTAGATGTGTGACTGTGACTCTTTAAAATACCTCTAATGTTTTATCTTACATAACCATTATATACAGTTAGGGCTGAAATTATTAATACCCCTGACAAATTCTGACAAAAAAGCTTTTGTTTAAATGTAAACAAAAGCTCTTGTACATCATCTTATTATCTTTCAGAAGAAAAATGACAGGGATGAAGCCCTAAAAAAGCCCTGAAAAAAAATTATGGTGGAATAAAATTTACTTTAAGTCAGAATTTGCCAGGGGTGTGTTTGTGTTTAATGAAATTTACTTTTAAAATAACATAAATGACCCACTGAACTACTTATTTTGACAATAATAGTAATCTTCTAATAATCTTCTTATAGAGTTCCTACAATCAATTAACAGGTCATTTTGAAAAACCTTTCATTATTTACTCCTCCTTAAGTTGTTCCAAACCTGTTAGATATTCTTCTGTTGAAAACAGAAAATATTTTAAGAAAGAAAATTGGAAACCATGTAACCATTGACTTTCACAGTATGTTTTTCCTACTTTGAAAGTTGATGGTTTCAGGTTTCCAGCTTTCTTCAAAATATCTTCTTCTGTGTTCAACAAAAGACAGAAAGGTTTATTACCACTTGAGGGAGAGTAAATTGTAAGTAAGGTTTAATTTTCAAAAAGGTAAACTATCCTTTAAAACACTGAAGAGGTTTAACTACACATGAGGAGAATGACAGGGATGAAGCCTGTCATTTACGATCAAAAAAAAAAAACTTGCTGGTTGAATAAAAGTTACTTTAAATCAGAATTTCCCAGGTGTGTGCTTGTGTTTAATAAAATGTACTTTTGAAATAACTTAAATGACCCACTGAACTACTTGTTTGACAAAAATAGTAATCTTCTAATAATCTTCTTATAGAATTCCTACTGTCAATTAACAGGTCAGTTATGAAAATTTCTCTTTTTAACTGTCATGGTATCAAGGTTGACTTTTTAAGTCTTCAGTCACACTGATAATTTTTTTAGGAACACAAAGCATTATAACATAACGCTGGATAAAAATAAAACAACAGCAAAAGATAAACAAATTAGTTAAGATAAGCTAAAAATCTACACATCGAGGTAATCTATCTAAGCCAACTATAGTGTCTCACCTTCTTCCTGATGTCCTCATCATTAGACCCCAGTGAAGCATAGAGTTTAAAGGCTGCCTGTCGAAGCTCATGTGCATGTTTCAAGTCATGATCCAACTAAACACAGACAGGGACATTTTTTACTGTTCAATGGCTTAATCAGCATAATCTGTATATTTAGGTTTATATAAAAACAGGAGAAGAAAATATGTCCTCCTTTATCAATTAATTAAATGCCAAAGACAAAAAAGATTTAGGTTTATACAAAAACAGGAGAAGAAAATATGTCCTCCTTTATCAATTAATTAAATGCCAAAGACAAAAAAGCATCAAAAATAATATGGCAATCATTTAGCTTGAGGCATCAAAACAATAAAAGTGCATAGTCATTAAAAATATAATAAAATTTAAAATAGAACAATTTAGGGAGACAGTTCATTCTTTTAGACATTTCGAAAAGCATAGGTCATATTTTATATTTTATAATAAAAAAGTTTTTTTTTTTTTATAAATCACGCTGTCACATTTTATTTTATTTTTTATTTTTTTCTGAAATTTTATTTGAACATTATAATAATATTAGGTTTAAACAGTTTCCACTTGCATTTAAAATGCATTCTATGTACAGTTGAAGAAAAACTTAACAGCCCTCTGGTGATATTTTTTATCAAATTTTTCCCAAGTGATATTTAACAAAGCCAAACAAAGGCAGTATGTCCTTTATTACTTTTTCCTTTTAAAGAATATCTTATTTCTTTTAGTTTGATTGAAATAAAAACCCTTACATTTTATTTTTTACAATTTTTTTTTAAGTCAATAGTTTTAGCCCCTTTAAGATTTTTTTTTCAATTGGCTACAGAACAATCCACTGTTGTCCAATTACTTGCCTAATTAAGCTAACTTGATTAATGAACATAATTAACCTAGTTAAGCCTTTAAAATGCACGTTAAGCTTATTATCTTGCAAGAACCCCCATAAGTCTGAATAACTAGTGAGAATATATAGCCAGAAAAATAGTATGTGCAGCCACCATGGAAAAGGCAAAATAAATGAGTTTTAGAAAGCAAATATTAAAACTATTATGTTTAAAATATTTGAAAAAGAGTGCTAATTTCACAGGAGGGCTAATGATATTTATTTCAACTGTTTATGAAATCCCTATTGATTTCCCTTTGACCCATGTACATGTATGCAGTTACCCTTTTAATATCAGTGATGGCGCTGACAGAGCTTGGGTATTTAAAGTAGTCAGCTAACATGGATACAAGATGGTCTGTGACACTGGCAATGCGTTGCAGTTCAATATCTGGCTCCATTAGGTAGGCCAGCGTCTCTGCACCCTCCACTCTCTCCTCCAGTAACCGCTCTTTACTGCACATCCGGACCAGGCATGGCAGAGTCTGTCCAAACAAACACACACACACACCCAACTTGTTTATGTGTGCTGTCAGCTTTTAAATTAGTCACAATATGAATAGGTGTTGTTGCTACCTTCAGTACAATGCAGTTGTCTTCTGTCCTGATGGCTCCTGCTCGACACATGTATGTTAAACTAGGAGGAAGAGTAGGAGTATATAAATTGAAGAGTTCACACAGGTAAATTTACTTTAAATTAGTGGCACAGATAATCTAGTGGCAAATCATTCCTCCTGCTCTTTTTCAAACTTTAATTCTTGTCAATATCTATTCACCTTAGTCTTCACATAAGCGCGAATGCAGCCATTTGAATGTCTTTGGCTTGAGACTTCCGGTCTCATTCACTTCCATTCATTTTTATATGTTAAAAACAGCTTGTTAAGCTTCTTGATGTTGTAAATTTTCTTATTATAATATTCTTCTTGGTCTGTATAGTCATGCAAACACAAGTAGTTTGACTGTTTTCTGACATTATTTTTGTTCTAGTCATTTCTCCAATAGTCAACTAAATTGGAAGTTCTAAAACAATCGCAAAAAACGAGAGCACTTCCACATTGAAGAATGAGGTTAATACTGTTAAATTAAAATACAGGGGAAAATTATAATATAACTATATCATAGGAAAAATAAATAAATAAATATTAACTGCAGGATGAGATTTACTCACCATTTGGCGGCTGTAAGCTGCATTTCGATAGGTTTGTCCCTTTGCATCATTCTAACAAAAACCTGAGAAAGCTGCTCCCCATCTACAAGCACTGAAAACACACACAAGTACATACAGTAAAACAAATATTTATTAAAGGCATGTTTCAGCTTAAAAAATATCATTTAAAATGCATTACATTTAATGATGTGTTTTCTATTTACTTTACTTTAAAATCTAAAATTTTCTCCTTTGAATTTCCAGCAGGCACTGCTTTAGTCTTTATTTGTCCTCCTGAGGTGTTAATATTCTGATTTGATGCTTTGAAACAACAATGCTGCTTTATATTACAAACATTTTATTTAATTATTTCGTAAAAAACTTTTAAAATCTTATTCTTAGATTAGAGTATTTTAACAATCTTAGATTATTTAATAAATAGAATGAATAAACGACTGAATAAATGAATGATTAAAATATTATACTGTCACTTTTGAATCATTTAATGCAGTGGTTCTCAAACTTTTTTCATCAAGTACCACCTCAGAAAAAAATTGTTTCTCCAAGTACCACCAAAATGAGTAGTATTGAATTACAGTAGTGTAGTAGGCCCAGAAAAGCAGCTACAACTCTGCACAGTTATAAGATGTGGCAGATTACCTCAGAAATATAGGCTATATGTCATATATGGCATATTATATACATCATTTTTGATAAATTTTGAAATGTATGTAGCATGTACATGACATATTTCATTTCTCCACGTACCACTAGAAGGAAACCCGCGTACCACTAGTGGTACACGTACCACAGTTTGAGAACCACTGATTTAATGCATCCTTAAATGAAATAATACATATATAAAATAAATAATAATAAAATAAAATTATATATATATATAATTTTGACACAAAAATTTTAAGCGACTTAGACTGAAATTACTTCTTTAGCAACAATGATGCAAAAATCAGCAAAATCAGCAATTACAATGCAATCATATTTACTTGTAAGCATCTACAGAAGTATAGAAACTCTCAATGGAGATTCTGAATGCTATTTTATACTTTCAAAAACCAACTCTACACTCTCATTTCACTGAACAGTGATTCTGATATTAATAAAGATTAAGAAAAAAGATGGACTGCACACAAAAGAGATATTCTTGGCTAACTGTTAGCCAGAGGGACAAAATAATGATGATGGTAGGAGAGAGAGGGTCATGCTCACCATTCACCAGTGTCATGGAGACCTGAGCGTTCTCATAGGCCAAGACTGAGAAACACTTCAACGCCTGCATCCGTACCTGCAGAAAGAGTTGTTCCCACATTATTACTCAGAATACACCAACCATTATTAAAAATACAATAGCTAACAGAAAAAGCCACAAGGTTACATATCGTACCTTATAAGATGGAGAGATAAGCAGAGGAGCGATGTTCTGGATGGCACCGTGGTTGAACAACACTGTCTGATGTTCAGGAGTCTGAAAAAAAAAAAAACATAAAATAAAACCAACAAACGCTAATGGAAAATATATGTAGCATTTTTACAAAAATTATACATTTGTACTTTCCCGTTTCATACTAGTTTTAATATATACAGTAAATAGCGCTAAAATTGGGTTTTCAGGAATAGGTAAACATGGGCACTGGACATGTGCCCAAGTAGAATACTTAGCATTAAGTGCAATGCTGTACAAGCTACAGAGAAAACATTTGTTAGACAAACCATACATAAGCAGATAAATGCAGGATGTTGTGCAAATCATAAAATGTATTAGTCTACAAATGATGCACTACAGTGAGAATATTTGGAGGTTATATATGGCAGTGGTTCCTAAAATGGGGTTGATAAATATATAACTATATAAATATATATATATCGGCTGAATGTGGAGGATGATTTCTTACTGTAGTCTCCAAAATTAAACCAAAAACTTACTTGCTGAGCAAACAGTGTGCCCACCAACCTCATTATGTGAGGTTAATGTTAAAATTAAGCAAATTAATAAATATTATTTTAAAAAATTACATGGTTGTTAGATTGTTGCCGTTTTTGAGTGTTCAATAAGCTTTTGTTTATTTGTAGTGTGTGCAACGTTTGCATATTTATAACCACCTCAGAGGACAGTGGGGCTCGCAAGTGACTGGTATTGTTCTTTTAGGGATCATGGGCTTTCATGGTTTGAAAAATGCAGTGAATTGTGTACAGAATTGACTAAACTTTCCTAAATGTAAACTAGTGAGAAAACAGTAGTTAAGAAAGCATTTGTTAATAGCAACGTTAATGTTTGAATAAGCTCTGCAATTAATTTCTGTCACATTTCTTTAAAACATTTTTTTACAGTAAGCTGCTGTACAGCAAGCAGCTTCACTGTATATTATAATAGCATTTTAAATTGTACTTCTTTTTGTTTACATACATCTGAAATCAATGGACCGAATCGAGAAAATCAACCAGAGAAGATTCAGACATCAAAGAAGGTGGACCCTAAGAGCCGCATCTACCTATTAAACATTCATCACTGATCAGTGGCAATTTAAAGATATTTACCAGCTGAACATCATTTTTAGGTACGTTGTTTCAAACTCCTGAAACAAACTCGAAATAACCTTTGGTTGGGACTGCTTTTGTTTAGAAATTGTGTTCGTTCTTCACTTTAAACATAATAGGGTCTTTTTAGTGTGGCCACAAATGTGTCTGTATATGGCTAAACCAATCAGAATGCTTCATCATAAGTCTGAATAACAGCATATTAAGTTGTGTGTGTTAAAAAAACACCTGCTCTACAAAGGGTGCTAATCAATGACACACAGGTAGAGGTTGTGGAGGAATATAGGTACCTAGGAACAATTATCAACAACAGGTTGAAATTTGATCAAAATAGACATACCATTGTTAATAAAGCTCATCAAAGACTGCTTTTATTGCAGAAACTCAACTCTTTTAATGTAGAGAAAGTTATTCTTAAGACCTTTTGCAATTCATTTATTGAAAGTATTTTGTACTTTTCCTTTATTTGTTGGTTTTCTTCACTGTCCATAAAAAACAAGAATCATCTTCAAGGCGTCGTTAATTTGTGTTCAAAGATTTTGGGAGTTCCCCTGCGAAGTCTTGCATACTATTACGAACAGCAAGTGTTGAGGATGGCACATAAAATACTAGGAGACAGCACACACACCCCTTGGTCGACGTCTAAGGACAATAAGATGTTCCACAAATCGTTATAAATTTAATTTTGTGCCTGAAGCAATTAGGTTATGTAATAAATGTAGTTAATCGATAGACTATTATTTGTTTTTTGAACTTGCCGTTAAGTGTTGATGTTTATTGCGTTAAGTGTGTCATTCTTGTAATACTATATGTAAAGTACCACCATGTAGAAATGAATTGCCCCAAAGGGAATAATAAAGGTTTAAACTAAACTACCTTGCAGCAGTGGGCGAAGATTTGCGTGATGTATTCCTGCGTGTGCTGTGACCGACTCAACAAAGACATGAGGTGGGGGATCACGGTGGGATCCTGATGAAAATAAAAACACGTTGATCACTCTTTCGCTTATACATATGTAACTATATAAAAGAACTGGACATGTGCTTACTGTGTAGAGCAGCTGGACTGGTGTGACTGGGCTGATGAAAACAGTTCTTAAACAGCGCAGACATGCCTCAATAAAGATCAGATCAGAACACAAGAGACCTGCGCACAAACATTGGAGACTTGAGCACTTTTCTTAGGACATATAAAGTAGAAATGTCCATAGATTTCAAGAAAAAATAATAGATTGAGAACCTTGCAGCAGGGCTGGGATGATGTGACAGTCCACCAGGGACTTGATGTTGTTCTCGGTGCCCATGGATAGACTGCCCAACACAACCGCACATTCAGTCCTCAGCTCCAGAGTGGAGGAGCTCTGCTGGAGGAGATACAGGAGTCTACAAACCCAAACACACTTTCTGATCAGCAATGAACATATCTAATGTGTATATTCAACTTGAGAAATCATTTAAAATGTCAATTTCAAAAATAGTCAATGCTGATTGAAGAGAAACAGGAAAAAAACATAAGGAGGGCTTGAGTTTGTTTGCCTGAATCAATTGGATGGCTTTTTTCAGAATAGTTTGAATTTTACCATTTCAAGTCATGAAGTTATTAGATTATTACCTCACACTTGACTTTTTATCTCTAAAGATTAAGTTTATTTATTGATGGTTCTGATACAGAAGTTAAAATGTAAAGATACAAATAAAAGAAAGATTCTAACTCAAATTTATATATAATATAAAAAACTCAAAAATATTTAGAATATTAAAAACAGTACAATGTAACCACAATTATGAGGAAAAACATGACAAAAGAATTGTGATAAAATCTAATTTGCTGAATAAAAAACCTGAAGAAAACAGAAAAACCTGAGAACAATTGTTCATATTATATTATATTATATTATATCATATTATATTATATTATATTATATTATATTATATATTATACTATACTATATATTATATTATATATATAAGTATATTATACTATACTTATATTATATTACATTACATTACATTACATTACATTATATTATATTATATTATATTATATTATATTATATTATATTATATCATATTATATTATATTATATTATATTATATTATATTATATTATATTATATTATATATTATACTATACTATATTATATTATATTACATTACATTACATTACATTACATTACATTACATTACATTACATTATATTATATTATATTATATTATATTATATTATATTATATTATATATTTTGCACTGGTTTCCCTATTTGCAAGTTCCGAATTCACGCTTGAAATGTCGAGCTGATAGAGCTTTTTCAGTAGCAGCTCCAAGACTTTGGAACGATTTTCCACTCTCCTTAAAAACATCTCCAACTTTTGAGTCTTTTCAGAACTCACTGAAAACACTGAAATTTTCTTTAACTGTTAATCATGTGTTCTGAGTTTACGAATTTTGGTTTCTTGTATGTTTGCATGTATTACACGTTTTTATGTAGCATTTTGGTACCCATTGTTTTTGGTTGAAAGTGCTCTAGAAATAAAGAGTTAAGTTGAGTTATATATTATATTATCTCTAAATATTGACTTTTTCCTCAGAATTGTGGTCTAAACTAACACATTAAAATTGTATGAGATGTAAACTGCTAAGAAAACAGAACTGTAAGTATCTGATAAGCAATTGTTAACTCATTAATGTAATCTACTTATTATTTATTCATTTAATTTATTCATTTTTTTGTTAAATTATTATTATCACTTTTATTCTGAGATTACAGAAAGGACATAAGAATATTTCTAACACATTCTAACAAATACTGCAACATACAGTAGTCAACATTTTAAGTAGATCTAAACCTTAATTCAAAATGGTCCTAAAACCATTCAGCAACACCTATTCCTGTCTTTAAAAAAACTGTCTTGACTTCTGTATACTCCATTAGCAAGTAAATTTTGCCTTTATGACTTTAAGATCAATCACACTATTAGATGAAGTCTTGCTAGTTTTACAAAACCTCTATTGGTAAAAGGGAGTAAAGTGGGAGGACCTACCTTGGCACGGCTCCCAGCACGATCAGGTTGGCCTTCTGTTTGTTGTTTCCGATGACAGCATTCTTCATGTCACTGTTAACACAGGTGCAAACACATATGACACGACACCAATGCCATAATTCTTAACATTTTTCAACTCTAGTTAACCTCAAAACGTCTTAAAGAGTTCATGCATAAATTAAATTAGTACAAATATAACAAGCATTCTTTTATTAGTTATTGTAACTGTATGAAAAATAAATGACCAAAATATTATAATTGGGTTATTTAAAACAGCTGAATTAAAGGAGACTAGTGTCTTTGTTAGACTTTATCATATATCTAGACAGTTAACATGTATTTAAATGATGTGAGGATCATAGAGGCTCATAACGATTGAGTAAATAGTAAGAGACTTCCAGCACAGATCTCATGACTCATTCAGCTCATTCACAGCATGCACAGGTCATAAAGCCTCACTCAAGTTCTCCTTTGAGGTTTCTACTTAATAGTATGAACATCGTACTTGCAGCACAAAGTGATTCTGGTCTGAATAAAAATGGAAATGCAATGTTTTTTTTTTATTGGTCTTTTAATTCTGTTCTAAAACAAAACCTAAGTACATTAATAATGCATGTTATAAATATTTTTTCTTTACTTTGTGAAGAAAAAAAAACAGTTAATGAGTGAATGTTTTAGAAATGATTATTGCTACATATACAGAGTTTAAAAGATGTATGAATGTAACCATACAGTTTCAATAAATCTATGCAGCAGTGATGTTGTTTTTGCACTCAAAACATTTATTACAATTTAAACCATTTAATATGTTCAAAATCTATTTTTAATGATGGGGTGTGGATGTAGGGATGAAATATAAATATTAGATATTATAGAAATTATGATAAGAGAACTAAACTTAACTAAACATGAAGTATAATGATAATTTAAAGCTAAATTGCAGTCCTAATAACTAAATTAATACTGATAATAAAATACAAAGGGCGTCAAGGGGGCGCAGTGGGTAGCACGATCGCCTCACAGCAAGAAGGTTAACGGTTCGAGCCTCGGAAGGCTCAGTTGGCGTTTCTGTGTGGACTCTGTGGAGATTGCATGTTCTCCCTGTGTTCGTGTGGGTTTCCTCTGGGTGCTCCGGTTTACCCCACAAGTCCAAACACATCCGCTATAGGTGAATTGGGTAAGCTAAATTGGCCGTAGAGTATGTGTATAAATGAGTGTGTGTGGATGTTTCCCAGTGATGGGTTGCAGCTGGAAGGGCATCCGCTGCGTGAAATATGTGCTGGATAAGTTGGCGGTTCATTCTGCTGTGGTGACCCCTGATTAATAAAGGGACTACGCCAAAAAGAAAATGAATGACACAACAAATAATTCAGTAAAAGGAATAAAAATATATAAATATATTTTAAAAAAATAACTAAAGCATAAAACAGACCTTAATATTAATAAATAGCATAAAATATTGGCATTTTGACAATACTCACTTAAGATCAAAACCAGTTGAAAGTTGTAATAATTACGAAAGTCAAAACAAGTTATTAAAAACAACTAGTTTTATCATCTGACGCAATAAATTCTTGCAATTTTTAAATCTGAATGGATTCTAATTGGCTGTCAATGTTTTTATGATTATGTTGTTTAAATTATATATATATATATCATGTGAATGTCATGTGAATGCTTTATTATTTCACATTTTTTAGAACTATTTCTTTGGGGTTATGCCCTTGATCCCAGGTGTGGATGGGGTTTATAGTTATTATTTGTGATGCATCTCTGTTGAAGTTGTTGTTGTTGACAATGTTGCATCATGTTTAAATCTGAGGAAGCATAATGTAATTCTAGAAGAAGCAGTATCTTAGTATGATGGAGTCTCTATAACTGTGGAAAAGTACTATGGGCTATGGAAGTCAGGAAACGTCAAGCTAACAGTAACCAGAGCTGGAGTTAAAAATAAAGATGAAGAGAGCGAAGCCACAGCTACTTCGACACTGTCACATAAACACATAAGTACAGCAGCAGCGCACAACATCTTACATGAAACAAATAAAAAAAAAAACTAAAAAAAACAACACAGACTTGTTCTACAAGAAATAAAACATCATCCTGTGGTGACAGTCACAGCTTTTTGCACTTAAATGTGAACACAGTGAACTGTAACACAGAGAAAGGACACATGGTTGCGTACTCACATGACTCCCTGCAGGACGTTCTGTGGGTCGGGGTCGAAAAGCCGGTCAACATAGTGGCGACTCGTGGCTGTGACTTCCTGCATGGTCACAAATGACAGAACAAAGATGATTCAGCAAACTCGTCCCATCTGAGGCATCACAACACCCTCTTTCTCGCCCCACAGCCTCCTCTCTGGCTCACAGGGTCACAACACTTCAGTCTGTTTATCCTTACAGTCGCAGACTGTTGGTGGAAACCTCCAGAAGGACAGCAGAGATCTGATGCCGCTTCCTCAAACGTGCAAAGAGAGATGGCGATTTCATGCCAGAGTATTAGGGGATTGGAATGACCTGCAGACCACAAATGTATAAACTTGCTCATTTAGAGCCGGATCCGACGGAAATGCAACAACTTTATTCATTCATTCACTTTCTTTTCAAGTTACTCCCTTTATTAATCTGGGGTCGCCACAGCGGAATAAACCACCAACTTATCCAGCACATGTTTTAAGCAGAGGATGCCCTTCCAGCTGCAACCCATGACTGGGAAACACCCATACACTCTCATTCACACACTTACACTATGGACAATTTAGCCTACCCAATTCACCTATACTGCATGTCTTTGGACTGTAGGGGAAACCAGAGCACCCGGAAGAAACCCACGCGAATGCAGGAAGAACATGCAAACTCCACACAGAAACGCCAACTGACCCAGCCAAGGCTTGAACCAGCGACTTTCTTGCTGTGAGGCAACAGCATTACCTACTGCGCCACCGCATCGCCCGCAACAACTTTATTTAAAAGTATAAGGTAAACACAAAACAAAAGTAACTATACTGAGCTACTCCATGGGACTTGACACTTGTAAACACTCGCTCTAAAGGGTTCGCTGAAGTCTGTACGGGTCTGCAACCCACCATATGCGTGAACTCCACCCAGAAGTATAAATTAGCCTTGACAGCGTTCAAGTCACAAGTCGCGGGTCATGTCACTCCACATGTGCTAGGAAAAGTTATTGAAAAAATGTACCCGGTAAAATTAGATCGATTATAGGTTCTGAATGTCGATTTCGACGACTTTTCGAATAATAACCAAGCCCTAATAATAATAATAATTATTATTATTAATAATATTATTCATGAAAAGAATTATGAAAAAAATACACTTCGAAAAAAAGCTAAGCATAACATTCACACATCAAATAAAAAAATTATTTTTAAAAACTGCATTTACCTACCAGTATTTCCAACAGCTCAAAAATTCACACTGACTTGTAGAAGGCACCAACAAAACTTGTTCCAGCACAAAATGAGCTTTAAACACACTGCAACAATGCATTTGAATGATGTGGGATAATTATGGGATAAGCATTATGTCTAACTCTGATTACCCAGCCCTAAAGAGTTATGTGGCTGTCATTTTAGAGGTCATTGCATTTAGGCTGCACTTCTTACATAAACATTAACATTTATCTGACATTGGTTAAAGTGTGGGATGGAATGTAGGCCAAAACACGTGCTCTTGTCATCTGTTTAGGGTCTGAATGCCTTGCAGTTTTGTAATACGACAATAAATGACATCATGACAAGAATTCAGAAATATCACTATGCTGATAAAATTTTCAAAATTCTTATGGGCGTCTCAGAGACCTCAGGTGTAAATCATAAATAATAAGAACACTGTGAACAGAAACTGTGTTGATATGCACAATAATAACTTGACTTTCTGATAAGAGCATTTATTCATCATACTTCAAAGAGTTAACGCTTTAACAGTATCACTCTACTGATTTGATTAAATTAGAGAAGAACATTAAAAACATTTGAGAACAGAAAAGAAGATACTATACAAAACTAGGCTGCACGGTATTGGAAAAATCTAACCTACATATATGTGTGTGTATGTGTGTGTACGATATGAACACAATTTCACAAGATGATTTGAATATCTCTATTTGGAAATAATTTATACATGATTTTTTACATGATTCTTTAAGAGAGTGCATCTGCAAAACATGTAATTGACAATCTACAATTATAGATACATTCAATAAAGAAAAAGAATAAATAAAATAAAATGTTTTATTGTTTTCCATGATGTCTTAACACTGTTCAGGTGCAGTTCTCAGCATATACAAGTACACCCCTCACAAATCTATCTTTTAAATTCATATTTTTAATAGGAAGTTATATTATAATTGTGCATATACATTAGATTAGTCAGCACTAAAGCCAAATCTGGAGCTTATCTAACAAAATAACTGACGATAACGGTCCAAAAACTAGTACACCCAAATGTACGTTATAGAAAAATAATATCTATAATTGAAAAAAAGTTAAAAATTCTGTTGAAATTTTGTAGGTTGTAATTTTATTTTTATTTTTAATTTTTTTTGCAATATTTTGCTTGAATGTAATTGTATAATCTTTCAATTTCTAAATATGTTTGTTGATTAAAATATTATTTGAATAAATATATCTGTTTAATAAATCTGTTTTATTTAAACATACCAAAATACATTGTTTATATTCACTAATGTATAAAAATGTTCATTTTCAAAAATGGGGTGCACTTAATTATGCTGAGGACTGCATATAGTTATTGAAGAATCAAATGTAAAATAATACGGCATAGTCTTCGCTATATAACAGTTCAATAAAATTATTTATTATTAGCTAATCATTTTAAGTTACAAACAGTACAATTTCTTAGGTCTGATTGCTTTTAAAATCATCACAGGCCTCAAAAAATATTTAATACAAAATAAACTAATATAATCCAGACTCAGCATTGAAGATCCTGTGATGCGAATATTACGAATGCTCAGATCACGATATTGATGCTGAAACTATATATTGTGCAGCCCTAAAAAAGACTAAGCTAAAGTTGGTTTTATATTGACACATTCTGGCTTTCTCCTTAATAATATAATTTCTAAAAAATGCAATCATATTAGCTCTCAACAACTATCAAAGTACAACACTGTTTATAGACCATTTTGAAGGATGTAAACAAAAACAATGGTCCAAACATATTTCCTGTGTTACATTTTTAATGTATATAGCTTCCGAGAATCCAAAAAGAGCCACATATTGATAAATAATGTTATAATAGCTGTTTTGACACTAAGTTATGAGTGAATTACCTCTTGTTACAGTTATTAATTAGTTTGATAACAAGCAGGGAATGTTCATGAACCAATGACATCACCACATTGTAATGGTCTATAGCCAATCAAATAGTGTCAATGCTGTTTTGAAGTCATACTTACATTGGTTTCAGAGTGAATATTCAATGAAGTGGTAAACAATAAGGAGCGATATATAAACGAATATAAAACCAACTTTACCTCAATTCAAACAAAACATGAAAGCTAGTTTTTAAAAGAGGTCACCTCCAAAAGGAATCATAGTAACACCATACTTTTCTACACTACCACTGAAGTACTTCTTAATAACCGGTTAAGAATGATAATCACTATTTTTAATCTTTACTCTGTACAGGTACCACAGTATTGACAGGTGATCTCATCATTGCACCGGTGTCCCACCACAATGAGTGCAGATCAACATGTGTCAAAACACACTGGACACAAACTACAGGGCTGTCAAAAGGGGGGCGTTTCCAGCACATTTGCCCATCAGATCATCCCTTAAGCACTTCATCAGACAGTATCGAGCAGGTTTGATTTTGTTTTTGAAGCCGAGGCTCTAAATATAGATAGAAAACTAAATATAACTTTGATTTGACAGCTCTGAGCCCATCCAGATCTGCTGTTAGCCACATAAACAGACAAGCAGTCATCAGAAAAGCCACACCGGTGAAGTTAAGATTAACCGCTAAGGTCTATGTAATGTGTGTAGTGTATATCTGAAAAACCATGAAGTGAAAATGTGAGTTTTTAAAAGGAATAACCAAAGAGACTCACAGATAACACGCTGATGCGTAAAGGGGCCTCCAACAGGCACGCCATCATTAACTCAGCGGAATATTCACAGCGGCACTTTCCACACGAACGTAGCTCAGTCAGCAGACTATTTACAGCGGCACTTTCGTTACAACCTTATCCAGCAGAACGTTCCCACCAGCACTTTCCACACCACTGGATTCCGGGATCTAAGGAGTTCTGCACAAAATATATATCATATAACATAATAAATATGAACATAACATGACATGTACATAATATTTATGGTTCCTATAACTTTTTGGCTTTCTGACTTTTATGACTTTAAGTTTTATTGATTAGTTCCCTATTTTTATTAACAAATGCTTGAACAATAATAGGAGAAAGGCATTAATACTTTTTTTAAAAATCACACAAAATACTGAAATAACAATGATTAAACATTCACAATCTTTTCATCTTCATTAATAATAATAATAATAATATTAATAATAATGATAATACTAATAATAATGATGATGATGATGATAATGATAATAATCTTATTATTATTAATAATAATTATTATATATATATATATATATATATATATATATATATATATATATATATATATATATATATACAGTTGAAGTCAGACTTATTATGTTGGCTTGAGAAAGCCAACATACTGTAATGCTACTTAAACTTATTCTTATTATTATGTTGGCTTGAGAAAGCCAACATACTGTAATGCTACTTAAACTTATTCTTATTATTATTATTATTCCGGCTTCTGACCAAAAAAAAGCAATCGCTTCTCCTCCCAGGGCTTAGATGCTACAAGCCCCAAATTTGGTCAAAAGCTGTCTTTTGCTCAGGAGATGGTTGCTGTATGTCCTCATGCTGATAAGATTTGTAGTTTTTGAATTAAAAAATTTTTAATTAAAAAATTGTATCGAGTATTTGGGGCATATAAAAAAGTATACAATCCTCAAATTTGGCCAAAAGATGTGTTTGAAATTACAGATAATTATCATATTTATTTGGTGTAATTATAAATAACAGTTTTCCTATAAATATTTTTTTTATATTAAATTTGTAAAATTCAGACTCAAAGCGTGTCAGAGTGTCCACGAGATGGCGCCAGAAGACTATTTTTGAGCCCTTTGTAATTTAGTACTGCTCCTTTAAGAGGCGGGGATATCCGTGCTGACTGTTTTGAATCTACAGAAATTCGGGCTCATTTCAGACGTGCTTGTTACAACATTTGAAGCTGAAATTGCGACCATTTTGGTCGCATATGCGCCTGAAAATTAATCTATGCGACCTCATAACATATTTGGGCGCATTAGTGCGACTGCAGATGGTTGTAGTGCGACCTGTTTTGATTTTTTGTAAAAACGTGCTGAATCGCTCTTCCCTGCCGCTATATTGGTTCATATTAGCTGTCAATCACTCAAGGTATTCCGCTGTCAGATGACAGGGAAGGAGCTTTTATGACCACGGGAAATGCAAACGGCTGAAGAGTAAAAACTAAAAGCACACAGGTTTGCAAACCCCACCTAAAATTGAGGTGTAGATGAGAGAGATCGTGACACGTCACGTGGTGAATAATGATCCACCAGCTGAGATCACTGAAACTGCGGCTCATAACAAAGACCAGTATCGCGCCGATGGTTAGTGCAAGAATCCTGCTCTGCCTGCTCATAAATTGGGTCGGCTGACTCGCCAGCTTTTCCACTAACACAGAAAAATGAAGATCATCTCAGACTGAACCTTTAAATTGACACAAACTGAAACCAAAACTTTTAAAGAGTGATAGAAGTGAGACTTTACTTTCTTTCTTTTGTCTATTCTTGTTTGAGGTGTATATTATTTTTTTATTTATTTACTGATGACTGCTTTGCAGCTTTCATCATTGAATTGAATTATTTATTATAATCTTTTGTTTGTTTTGTAGCAGAAAAATTATTTATTAAATTGACATGCATATAAAAACAGCAGTACAAAATCAATATTTCTTACTGCAATGCTTCATTTTTGTTTGATGCAAACTATACAATTATTTTATATAAAGTAACAGACATTTTATAGCAGATAACCTACATTCATGCACATTCAAGGCAGTATCATAATGAGAAATGGAATTCATTGTTACTATTATTGTCATTTTCATCATCACTAATATTCTATGGCCTAATTATTAGACATTCATTTTAGAATTATTGCACACAAATATCAATGTCTTCGCAGCATTAGTTAGATAGTTGTTTCTGGTTTTTGTCAGTCCTATTGATGTTGTTTTAAAATACAATAAATCCCTTAAAAAGCAATTTGCAGCGGTGCTCATTCATTTTTGGTGGGTGCTCCTAAATTTTTTCTGGTGCTCCTAAATTTATTTTGGTGCCCCTGAATATTTGAAGTTGGGAGCACCGGTGCTACCAAGTAAAAAAGTTTATTTCGAGCCCTGTATATATATATATATATATATATATATATATATATATATATATATATATATATATATATATATATATATATATATATATTCATACAGTTGATGTCAGAATTATTAGCTCCCCTGTTTATTTTTTCCCCAATTTCTGTTTAATGGAGGGAAGATTGTTTCAGCACATTTCTAAGCATAATAGTTTTAAAAACCTATTTCTAATAACTGATTTATTTTATCTTTGCCATGATGACAGTAAATAATATTTGACTTGATATTTTTCAAGACACTTCTATACAGCTTAAAGTCACATTTAAAGGCTTAACTAGGTTAATAAGGGTAACTAGGCAGGTTAGGGTAATTAGGCAAGTTATTGTATAACGATGGTTTGTTCTGTAGACTATCAAAAAAAAAAATATCTTAAAGGGGATAATAATTGTGTCCCAAAAATGGTTTTTAAATAATTAATAACTGCTTTTATTCTAGCCGAAATAAAACAAATAAGACTTTCTCAAGAAGAAAAAATATTATCAGACATACAGTGAAAATTTCCTTGCTCTGTTAAACATCATTTGGGAAATATTTAAAAAAGGAAAAAAAAAATCAACTGGGGGTTAATAATTCTGACTTCAACAGTGTATATATATATATATATATATATATATATATATATATATATATATACATACACACACACACATTTATGGTTAGGGTTATAAGGATTATTTTTTATCCCCCTTTTATGTTGGCAAAAACATAAGTTTACTTCAGATATTTCTTTCAAAACAGAATATTCTGTACCGCAAAAGAGCCTTCTCCTAACTTGTGATAATGACAATGAAAGCCAAGCTTTTGGCCTATGCTGTACCAAAAAAAAATAAAATCACCCAGGTGATGACAATTAAATATTACGATTATAACATTGTGTTAGTGGCCAGTGGGGTGGAACAACGTCATTGGTCAGAATTAACCACGTGATGAAGATGGCCTAATATTGTATTTAATGCAATTTTCTTCCTGTAAACTGTATATAACTATATAACTATAACTATATATATAATGCTGCAAATTACTGTAAATTGACTGTACTCTTTATTAACTGCAAAACTGATAAGACTGATTAAATAAAAGACAAATTAACTAAATGTATGTGCTATTGTTTCATTAGTATTTTAATTTAATATTTTTCTTTATATGATATTTATTATAATGTAATTTTGTTCAGATTATAATATATACTATAAATACTAACTATACTATAGTGATCTGCATTAAACAACCTGAACAAATCAGTCCTCTCTCTCGATTTGATCAAAAATGTAAATGAGGCCTTCCGATTAACAGTCCAGTGGACCCTAGCAACAGCCTAGAAACCACTCAGAACACCCTAGCAACTACCTAGGAATGCCTTAGCAACATCTTAGCAACCGCCTAGCAACCACTTCTCAACCGCTGTGCTTCCTGCCAACTGCCTTCGAGTCCCCGGCGCAGTCACGTTGGCTTTCTCAAGCCAACATCAAAGTTCGTCAACGAACTTTAGGTTCTAGTTATTCTTATTATTATTATTATTCCGGCTTCTGACCAAAAAAAAGCAATCGCTTCTCCTCCCAGGGCTTAGATGCTACAAGCCCCAAATTTGGTCAAAAGCTGTCTATTGCCCATGAGATGGTTGCTGTATGTCCTCATGCCGATAAGTTTTTTAGTTTTTGATTTAAAATTTTTTTGAATTAAAAAATTGTAAATATTACAATCGAGTATTTGGGGCATATAAAAAAGTATACAATCCTCAAATTTGGCCAAAAGATGTGCTTTAAATTGAAGATAATTATCATATTTATTTGGTGTAATTATAAATAACAGTTTTCCTATAAATATTTTTTTATATTAAATTTGTTAATTTCAAACCTAAAGCTTGTCAGAGTGTCCACGAGATGGCGCCAGAGAACCATTTTTGAGCCCTTTGTAATTTAGTACTGGCCCTTTAAGAGGCACTGCTCCTTTAAGAGGCGGAGATATCCGGAGTTATCCGTGCTGACTCCTCTACTTGTGATAATGAAAATGAAAGCCATGCGAACATTCACGTATATTATACAATAAACATATTTAATATAAAATCCTTCTAACTTTATTTTTAATCTGTATTTTAACCCTCTAAAACAGCTATGTCCTTGCCACAAAACTAATAATCCATCTTCAAAACCTACAATTTCATTCCATTCGGTCCGGTCGGACCTGAACGTCTTTATACCGTTGTAATCACGTGTAAATTCTAACAAAGACAATGTTAGCACTTTTTAAATCACATTTTATTTATTGTGCAAAAATAAAACATCCAAACAGCATCATAACCAATAAAAACACACAGCAAAGAAAATGTATTTTAAAATAGTGAATATATATATATATATATATATATATATATATATATATATATATATATATATATATATATATATATACATACAATGTATGAAGATTTTTTATATCCCCTTAATATGCTCTGCTGTTGCTGCATCAATTTCTCTCTGTAACATCTGAATTGCAATTTACACTGCAATGTTCACAATTTATTATTATTATGGGGGGAAAATCCAAACAGTATTATAATGTTTTAAAGCAAAAATGTTAAGAACAATTATTTA